AAATTGCATTTTTATATTGATCTGTGGGGAACGAATTATAAATTATTATTATTTATAACAGTTTTACTTTCTTATAAGGTCAACAACGAATTATTAAAATTTTATATTTATAACAGTTTTACCATTTTATAAGATCAACATCGAATTGTAATGTCTTTATGTTAAATGAAATTATTCATTGGGCGACAAAAGTTATGCACCTTGTCTATATTTTTAAATTAGTTAGGGTTAGGGTTATACATATTTTGCTAAATAATAGTTGTTTTTAAATTTTGTTAGCAATGCATGCTGGTTTACCAAATTACATAACTGTCAAATGAAAACTTTTAAAAACCAAATAAAAAGGTTGGTATTTTGTTGCCTGCTGTAATGGGCAACACTTTTCCACCTTTAACAGCAAATTAGATCTTTAATATCATATCGTTTTTTGCATCGTTGAGTAGTTTCATCCATTTGTGTTAGTTGAAATATTTTTTTTGAAGTTTTTCATATGTAAATAAGGTTTTTAAAAGGATTTTTTATGGGTTTACCCAAACTTAACCTTTGGAAGATGTGCAGTCTCATTATCAGCAGAATCAAACGCTGTTTTTTTTTTAATATTCATCCATTTATTCTTACATTAATTCACTCATTGATAATTCCATTGCGTTATCAGTGCCTATAGGCTAAATGATTATTCTTATTCATATAAATTTTTGAAGGTGTAATCGAAACAAAATGTAATTCTAAGGTTGGTATTTTTTATTTAATTCATTTATTTGTTTGTTTTTAAATGCAGATGCTCTGTAAACGTTAAAAGACATAATAATGTTTTATTATTTCAAATTGAAACTTATAAGTGTTTTTATCCGTGTTCTTAACATTGAAAAATATTGCTCCATAATGATTTTTTCCATTTCATTTCAGCGGCTCGTCTTCTCATTACTTTGTTTGGCTCTAAAAGTTTCATGTCAATATCTTCGCTGAAAAGTCTTTTGTTTTTGAAATAACTAAAATCGCTTGTCTTCGAAATTGATTTTTGATGAGAAACTTAAATAGCTTGATTTTTTTGGTTTTGAGCCATATATTTTGGCTTTTGTCATTTTTTAGATTTTTCTCCACTTTTTATTCAGTTTTACGAGTTTTCTCGATATATCGATTTTTAAAATTGAAATTTTTGTTAAATCTCAGGATATGAAAATTTTTTATTTTAATGAATCATAAAGCATCATTGATAGGCATTTTAAAATTGAGCATATTATTGAAAATGCGCAAGACGTTTGATGAAAATTTACATCAAGAAATTTGATGACACGTGAAAAAATAAAGTTTTTCCGTTTTAACCCATCATAATTAATGAAACTGAATTTGAAATTAGAGCAATGCCATTTATTGAAAAATTTGCAGAATATAATGTATAGGTGAGAAGAAATGAATAATTTGATATAATGCTGATATCGCTTCACCATGAACACCAACGATTTTTTTCTTATTAATTTTTATAAATTGGATAATAATTATTGTTAAAATTAATGTTAGAATTAATGTTAAACTAAAATTTGTGTTGGAAATATTGAAAGCTCAATCCGTAGATTTTATCAAATATTTCTTTCTTCTCCATATTAGAGTGAGCATTAAGACGTCGAGTTGTTAACAGCAACAACGACAACGACGAACACACAATTCATATATAAATATTTTACTCTGTGCGTCATCAAGGTTATAAAAAATTGCAAAAAATTTTTAAAAATTGCAGCTTTTTATGTTAAAATTAAAATAACCCTAACCCTAACGTTAGTTAACATAAATGAGCCTAGCACTTATTACCATAAAATGTAATTTAAAAGGATATTTTTATAAAAATTTGTTTCCGAGGTATAATGATGTAACAGTTAATTTGCATAAAATATTTAGTTCTATACAACAAAAATTAATTCTGGTAATTCATTCAAATATACGATATCAGCATTATATCAAATAATTATTCCTTTCTTCTCACCTATACATTATATTCTGCAAATTTTTCAATAAATGGCATTGCTCTAATTTCAAATTCAGTTTCATTAATTATGATGGGTTCAAAACGGAAAAACTATACTTTTTCACGTGTCATCAAATTTCTTGGTGTAAATTTTTATCAAATGTCTTGCGCATTTTCAATAATATGCTCAGTTTTAAAATGCCTATCAATGATGCTATATAATTTATTAAAATGAAAAAATTATCATATCCTGATATAACCTTTTGTAGAGAAATGTGTTAAGCAGCATAAGCTCTATCCTTGAAAATGATTCACGATCAATCGTTAGAAAAATCGAAAAGTTAAATTGGAAGTTAACTAACGCCGAACATGCTTTGATTTTTAATAATAATTGGATATATATATATGTATATATATATATATATATATATATATATATATATATATATATATATATATATATGCCAATTTTAAAATATATCGCCACACAGACCACCAATCGCAATCCAGTGCAGATTGGAATACATACAAAAACGTTTTGATAAACGCTGCAACTACAGTTTTTTGGAAAAACTGGTACAAAACGTCAGCATGAACAGGACACTTGGTGGTGGAATGACAGTGTATAAAATGCAATAGCTGAAAAGAAAGTTTCATACAAGCAATGGCAAAAATCAAAATCTGTTGATGACCATAAAATTTTCCCTGAGAAGAATAACTATGCAAGACGTCAAATTGCATTGTCTCAGACAGATCAGTGCAGAGAGTGGCTCACTAAAAGCAAAGGTGGAAAAATGAAATTTCTGCATCCAGTAGCAAAACAAGCAAAGCCTACGAAACAAGACATAGCTGGTGCCTCATGAATCAAAAACGACAAAAATGAGATGGTTCTTGAACAAGATGAGAACAATCTATAGTGGAAAGAATATTTCAACCATATGTTAAATGAAACAAATCCCATCAATGTCAACTTTGACGCTCCACCAATCGAAGGTCCGATCCTAGACATCACTGTAGAGGAGCTAACAGAAGCTCTGAAAGCTATGAAGGATGGAAAAGCAGCAGGGCTCTCTGGACTCACAAATGACATTATTAAAGCATCTGGTACTGCAGGTATCCAAACGTTACTACAACTTTGCCGTGAAGTGTGGAGAAATTGCTCAATGCCGACTGAATGGAACTATAGCATGACGGTCCCGCTATCCAAAGGCAAAGGTAATCCATTGAACTTCTGTTAGAACACTCCCTGAAAATTGTCAAGAAAATCAGTGAGAGAAGATTAACGTCGTGCATCACAATCGGAAATTATTTATTTGGTTTCTTAGCGGCGAAATCAACAATTGATGCAATTCACATCTTTCGGCAACTGCAAGAGAAATACCTCGCAAAGCATCAACAACTATCACACATTTTTGTAGACCTTGAAAAAGCATTTGACCGAGTTCCCCGTGAAGCAATCAGGTGGAGTCTATGTCGACAACTCATTCCGGAATATCTTGTTAAGTAATATATTTATTGTTGAATAATTATAAAATGAATTAATATATGAAATTGAAATAGAGTAAATTACGTTGAAATGTAATTAAGAAAATGATGAACAGTTCAATGGATCACCTTTGCTTTTGTATAGCGGGACTGTCATGCTATAGTTCCATTCAGTCGGCATTGAGCAATTTCTCCACACTTCACGGCAAAGTTGTAGCAACGTTTCGATACCTGCAGTACCAAATTCTTTGATAATGTCATTAGTGAGTCCAGAGGGCCCTGCTGCTTTTCCATCCTTCATAGCTTTCAGAGCTTCTGTAAGGTCCTCTACAGTGATGTCTGGAATCGGACCTTCGATGGGTGGAGCGTCAAAGTTAACATTGATGGGATTTGTTTCATTTAACAGACGGTTGAAATATTTTCTCCATTGTAGCTTGATCTCATCCTGTTCAAGAACCATCCCATTTTTGTCGTTTTTGATTCATGAGGCACCAACTATGTCTTGTTTCGTAGGCTTTGCTTGTTTTGCTACTGGATGCAGAAATTTCATTTTTCCACCTTTGCTTTTAGCGAGCCACTCTCTGCACTGATTTGTCTGAGACAATGCAATTTGACGTCTTGCATAGTTATTCTTCTCAGGGAAAATTTTATGGTCATCAACAGATTTTGATTTTTGCCATTGCTTGTATGAAACTTTCTTTTCAGCTATTGCATTTTATACACTGTCATTCCACCACCAAGTGTCCCGTTCATGCTGACGTTTTGTACCAGTTTTCCCACAAACTGTAGTTGCAGCGTTTATCAAAACGGTTTTGTATGTACTCCAATCAGTACTGGCTTGCGATTGGTGGTCTAACTGTGTAGCGTCAATCTGTTGAAAATTTTCTCGATGAATATTGCTTTTCAGCTTCCACGTTTTGATTCTCCGAGGCATTCGTTTAGACTTATGTTGTGATAGTTCGACAACCAGGTCTGCCACAAGGAGTCTATGTTGGGCGACACATGATTCGCCAAGTATAACTTTGACATTTTTGAATAGCCTTCGGTGTTGTTGCTTGACAGCGAAGAAATCAATTTGCCTGGCTGATGGTCCACTTTTGTATGTTATGAGATGTTCCAACCTATTTCTAAAATATGTGTTCAGTAAACAAAACCCGTGACTTTCAGCAAACTCAAGGATGCGGTTGCCATCTTCATTCCGTTCTCCATAGCCAAAACCGCCATGTACGTTGTCAAAACCATCTGTTTTCTCTCCATTGAGATCGCCTCCCATCAGGATTGTTTCAGATTTTGGTATTGTTGAGATGGTGTCAGAGAATGCAGTCCAGAAGTCATTTTTCATCTCTTCTGATTTGCCTGTCTGTGGTGCTTATGCAGAAAAAATAATCATTGTTTGCTTTTCTATGCGAAGCTTGATCCACATGAGACGTGAATTACTCCTTTTAATATCCAGTACTTCTTGGGCTAGTGGTTCTCTGCCAAAAATTCCAACACCATTTTTGGCCGTCCTTTGACCATTCCAGAATAGTTTATATTTTTCTTTGTCTGAGTTGACATGACAGACACCATTCGATTTCCATCAGATTTCCCGAAGGCATCAGATGTCAATTCTTTTACGCTCGAGCATTTCTGCGATTTCCATGCTGCGGCCAGTCAGTTATCCAACATTGAGCGTTCCAAGTTTAAGTACCATAGAGGGGCCATTCTGAATTTTTCTGCAACATCCCTTCGCTATTGCATACTTCTCAGGGATTCTTGGCACCCCTGCTGGGGATTAGGGGCCGTTGTTTTTTTTTTGTGATGGCATAAAAGTAATTTGGGTGTGTGTGTATATATATATATATATATATATATATATATATATATATATAATTGGTTTATGCTATTATTTATTTATTAAAGGCGACAAACTCAAATCTTCATGAATTTGAAGGGAATTTGGATTTAAAAGATGAAATTCAATTGTTGACTAAAAAAGTTATCAACTTTGAAGAACTTATTGAGAAAAAAAATCAGGAAATAATGACTTATAAAAAAAATTATGAACTTGCAACAAAGCAGATTGAACAATTAGTAAGATTGATCTTTTTAAATTTAGTAAATTCAAACAACCTATATTTTTTAATATTTTTTAACGAAATAGTGCAAAAATGCATGCTCAGAAGACAACAGTATCAATAATGAGATGGTTATAGAAAGAAATCATCTTACATTGAAGATTTCTGAGCTGGAAAGTTCCAAATTGTTTTTGGAAAATGAAAAAATGGTTTTTCAAGAACAATTGCAACAATTTGGAGAAGAAATTGAATTTCTTAAAAAAAATCTTGATGTTTGTCTTGTTAAAATTAATTTTAATTTTGTTTACCTTTATTTAAAAAATGTTTTTATATTTTATTTTAAAACGAATCGCAGAATAAATTTAAATATAGAGAAAATTAGAATATAAATGTGGTTATTCATATCCATCAGATATGCATATCGTAATAGTTTTTTTTTGTTTTTGAGGCGTTTATCTAAACCGAAATCAAACAACACACGTTTAGACGACATTTTCCCCGAGATCGGGGGTTGCCGTTTGGCTACCTATGATGAAACCGAAATACCCCTCGACGCCATCCACATCTGTCACTCGCCTCAGTATCACGCAACCGAAATCAAATGCTTTTAAAAATTTAGAATTTTGCTTCTTTTTCTTTCTTTTTTAATGTAACGTAGTTTTTCAAATGCTATACTTTACCACAACAAATTTTCAAATGTATAACATCTATTGGTTCAAGTAAATTGTTTGAATATGTTTTATTATACTTTATTGGAACTGCACTATTGTAATACAATTCCTTTTTACCATGAAATTTGCACCAAACTCTGTTGACACGTAAAAAAATAAAGCAGTATTAATGAAAATAGCGGCTAAATGGAGATAGTTATAAAATAGTAATTTTGTTTTTTGTGAGCCAAAGAAATTTTTTAATCTGGTTGTCTATTGAAAACAACAAAATAAAATTTTTAAGTGTTCATTTTTTATTTTTGTGTATTTTAAAATTTTATGATTTTATTCATAAGTAAAGATTTTTTTATTCAATCTATTTGCAACATCAAGAGTTCTGATAAAGAAAAAGTGGAGCTAGAGGTTGACAAAATGCAATTAACTAGTGATATGGATTCACTTAAAAAAGAACAAGATGATTTACTATTGCTTCTTACAGAGCAAGATTTAAAAATCAAGCAATACAAAATTAAACTTAAAGAATTTGGAGTAAAGGTTTACTTTTTAAACTCTTTCCTGCAATTATTCATTTTCGCAATTTTTTTTTGTTTGCCTAATGAAATTTTTTTGCTATAGAAGCCTTTTTATTTATACACAAAATTTGTAATTCTAAAAATTGCCATACGACATATCAATGGCGAAAACTTGAATTACTTCAGTTTTTATTTTATGGAAATTCGTCGTACAATTAAGACAATTATTTAAAGATGAGATTTTCTTGGGTCAATTGGTATCAGGCAAACAGACTGTTGAACTAGCATAAAATAGCAAAATATTAATATTCATATTGTTATAACTGCCCAGTAGACTACGGGCTTGGTTTATCTCAATGGAAAATAGCGACGCAATATAACTTTAGACTATCATTCTGTTTATTTACAAATCAATAAACAAATCAATGTTAATGAATTTTACAGATAAAAAATTAATGTTCACAGAATATCATATTAACGCTCTGAAACAATCAATCTTCGTTTAGCGTCCAGAGGTCCAGTTCCCCGTGGTAGGATGTTGTTTTCTTTGCCATCAATTTTTTGCGCCAAATTAGACGATCAGTTGTATCCATTTCATTTAAATTTAGAGCTTTCATGTCTTGCTCGATTGTTTGCGACCAGGACTTCTTTGGACGGCCTTAGGGACGTGTGCCAGGTACTACAACATCTGCAAGAGAAGTTATGGCATTGTTTCCACTTCGTTTGACATGACCAAACCACCGCAGACGGCGTTGCCGGCATTCGTTCTTTAATATCATCTAAACCAGCACAACGCAGGATTTCGGTAGATTTGATGTGGTCCTTCAGACTAATTCGTTGCATCTATCGGAGCATTTTCATGTCGGTTCTTTGAAGTTGTTGTTCCAGTTTGGTTTTCATTGGCCATGTTTTTGCACCATATAACATGACCGGACGTATCACAGATTTATAAAATCTTGATTGTAGTGGTAGTGGGATGTCACGCCGCATCAATATAGAGGCAAGGAGATGCCATTTATTCCAGGCTGCACGTATGCGTGCTCGAACGGCAACTTCATCTGTTCCAGTACAATCCAGAACATCCCCTAGATATTGAAACGATGTAACTTTTTCTACCTTAATGGCTTCAAAAACAGTGCTATTTTGAATAGGTTGTTTGTAGATTGATGCAAGCAGGACAAACAAAATTGGATACTTTAGATAAAGTACCAATTATTTTAGAGCAACGTTTGTGTCTCCACTGGTTACACTGCTGACACTTGATTGAATTGTTACTTACACCAGCTTTACAAACTGAACAGGGCCGTCCAGTAGCTGTGGATTGGATGGGTTCACCAGTGTTCATTCCTTTGGTTTTGTTGATCTTGACTTTGAATCCATGATCGGCGAGTCTGGTTTTCCAATCTTCAAACATCTGTGCTGCATTCTGCTCAGACGTGGCTGTTAAAACGGTATCAAATGCTTTTTCAAGGTCTACAAAAATGTGTTATAGTTGTTGATGCTTTGCGAGGTACTTTTTTTCAGTTGCCGAAGGATGTGAATTGCATCAATTGTTGCTAGAAAACCAAGTTGATAATTTCCGATGGTGATGCACGACGTTAATCTTTTCTCAATGATTTTCGCGACAATTTTCAGGAGGTGTTCTAAAAGACGTATACACCGATATGATCATCAGTTAAATGGATCACCTTTGCTTTTGTATAGCGGAACTGTCATGCTATAGTTCCATTCAGTCGGCATTGAACAATTTCTCCACATTTCACGGCAAAGTTGTAGTAACGTTTGGATACCTGCAGTATCAGATGCTTTGATAATGTCATTTGTGAATTCAGAGGTCCCTGCAGCCTTTCCATCCTTCATAGCTCCTCTACAGTGATGTCTGGAATCGGACGGTTTTGTATGTACTCCAATCAGTACTGGCTTGCGATTGGTGGTCTAACTGTGTGGCGTCAATCTGTTGAAAATTTTCTCGATGAATATTGCTTTTCAGTTTCCACGTTTTGATTCTCCGAGGCATTCGTTTAGACTTATGTTGTGATAGTTCGACAACCAGGTCTGCCACAAGGAGTCTATGTTGGGCGACACATGATTCGCCAAGTATAACTTTGACATTTTTGAATAGCCTTCGGTGTTGTTGCTTGACAACGAAGAAATCAGTTTGTGTGGCTGATCGTCCACTTTTGTATGTTATGATATGTTCCAACCACATTCTAAAATATGTGTTCAGTAATCAAAAGCCGTAACTTTCAGCAAACTCAAGGATGTGTTTGTCATCTTCATTCCGTTCTCCATAGCCAAAACCGCCATGTACGTTGTCAAAACCATCTGTTTTTTCTCCAACGTGGCCATTGAGATCGCCTCCAATCAGGATTGTTTCAGATTTTGGTATTGTTGAGATGGTGTCAGAGAACGCAGCCCGGAAGTCATTTTTCATCTCTTCTGATTCGCCTGTCTGTGGTGCGTATGCAGAAAAAATAGTCATTGTTTGCTTTTCTAGGCGAAGCTTGATCCGCATGAGACGTGAATTAATCCTTTTAATATCCAGTACTTCTTGGGTTAGCGGTTCTCTGACACCATTTTTGGCCGTCCTTTGACCATTCCAGAATAGTTCATATTTTTCATTGTCTGAGTTGACACCATTCGATTTCTATCGGATTTCCTGAAGGCAGCAGATGTCAATCTTTCTACGCTCGAGCATTTCTGCGATTTCCATGCTGCGGCCAGTCAATGATCCAACATTGAGCGTTCCAAATCTAAGTACCTTAGAGGGGCCATTCCGAATTTTTCTGCAACATCCCTCCGCTATTGCATACTTCCCAGGGATTTTTAGCACCCTTTGATCACTTAAGGCCTGCTGGGGATTAGGGGCCGTTGTTTTTGTTTTTGATGGCATTTGATGGCAACTTTCCCCAAAATATTATTTGGGGAAAGTTTTTACATCCGGACACCCATCCTGACGACAACCACCAGTTTTAAGCGGTGGACCTAGCCTTTTGCTCAAAAGCACGCAAGGCAGCGTGGATGCATGATGCTGGTTTATGAACTAAATATACATGAAAAAGAAAAATCATTAGAAAAACTGAAAACTTTAGTTGTAAACTAAACAATGCAGAAAACGTATAGAATTGCTTTTCTATAAAGTTCTGTTGTTAAATTTTATTACAACAACAACGCAGATCTCAATATGTTGTTAAATAATCTTAAATAATGTTGTCTAATGATTTTATAATGAACGTTTATGATGAACGCTTCTTGAAATTATATAAATCATAATTTTTTTGATAGCCACTTTACAAATATTATTTTATGACATCTGAAAAATATGAAGACTAATTTAAAAAAATGTGTCATTTGGACGTAGATTATAATTTTATTGTTGAAAAAAACGCTTTCGATTAACAGCGACTTCTCTCTTCGTTAAAACTGAAAACATGTAAAAAATTTTGCTGTGAGGGCTCTGAAACTATCGCTTTCCAAATAACTATTAATTAACAAATATCACAAAGGTACTTCTAAAGCAAAGTCAAATATTACTTTCGGCACTGACAATCAATCCTATTCGATATCATGCACGTCTTTATATACCGGTCTTATCGACGCTTCTCGATAATTTAGGTACCTCCGTTATACGAATACATTTCACATCGCTTGTCTCTATAACCATTTCTGTATTTTCCTATATAAGGACGCCCCTCTCTAAATCAAATTTAAACCCATGTTTTGTTAGTTAATCAATGTCTATTGTGCTTTCATTAGTGATATCTGCTATTGGAAACGTACCTTCGAATGCCAAATCAACTCTTAGTTAAACAATATAAGAAACATGTAAAAAGTATTCAATCTATGTTCTTAATATGTATGATAAGTTGACCAACTCTCTTGATATGTATGATAAGTTGAGCAACTCTCGAAGTACTCAAAACACATGTGCTGCAGAAAAGTATGTTGGTAGCTATAGTAAGTTAAGTATTTTTCCAAACACGATTTGAAAGTTATGCCATGACACCTGAGGCCTTTACATTTCGTCTTGAAAGCTCTATGTCCAAGTTTAAGCTGGTTGTAATTGTTTATTCAAAATACGTAAATTAAAAGTATGATCACCTATGTTGATTACCGGTAATTCGTTCCTACTATGGGCAAGTATTCCGGTTTTTGTAAGACATGGTTAGCCAAAATCCTTCGACAAACCACAGCTCTTTACAAGAATGCGTCTTCTTTTAAGGTTAAATAATTTACCATCATATCTACTGTATACCATATATACAGTATACGTCTTCTATGGCAGCGAAAACACTGGCAAGGAGAACAGAAAAAGAAAAGAATGATGGCGCAAAAACACATCCTTGTTTCACTCCACTGCGAAATGATTCCTCAAATTGCACAACTGTCTCGAACACTCTGTCCCCACTCTTGTCTCGATCTTTAGCAATCACAGATCTTCATCAATATCTGAAGTCCTAATTTCTCTTGCAGACATCTCTGTAAGTTAATTTGAGACGACCGATTGTTCTTTTATCCCTGATCTGGTTGTGGAAGGCTGTTATCAGTCCCTGCAGTTTAGAAAGGCAACCAATTTTTTCCAATACAGCAAATAAACCACTTCTGCCAAGTCAAAAGCTTTAGTCAGAGCAATATAAAATGACTGTCTTTGTTCACTCGAACAAAGGCTTTTCTCAACTGTACTTAGTGTGGAGATGTCTCTGTAATTGTTAGTCTGAACGATCACCCTTGTTTTTGTAGATAGTAAATATATTTGCATCTTTCAAATCCTTGTTGGATAGCACTCTTTTCTCAACATAAGCATAGCAACATGTGAAGTGGCTTCAGTAAGGTATGTTCCCCAGCTTTAATAATTTCTACAGGAATGCCGCCTCCACTAATTGCCTTCTCGTTTGCAAGTGCATCAATGGCCATACTAAGTTCCGTTTCAGAGAAGGTATTTCATCCAGTTCAGTCAAAGTTGGCAAACCTCAACTTTTGACAGCGCAGCTGCAATAACAACACTATGTTTAATAGAGTTCTACATTCTCATCTTTCCATTTGAGATGTACGATCTGTACCATCTTTTGTTTTGAGTGGAACACATTTACTAACAATTGGTCCAAAAGCTTTCCTTATACCTTCATACAATCTTTTTGCACAAGTTTGAATATTTTTACAAAGATTCTGCTAATATTTATTCGCGCAATGTCTAAAATGTTTCTGTTTTCTTGCATCCTTAAATGCCTGTAATTGTTTTCTGTTGGTCTCTTTTGTAAGCCACTAGAGCTTCTCTTTTGTTTTTTGTAGCAATCTCCATTTCTTTGCCACATTCCAATCCTCATTTTATCTAGCTTTTTTCCGTAGAACCGACAATGATGCCTAATA